ATACTAATGATCTGCAAGTCAGTCAGGACATGCTATTGCATACATGACTGAAGGCATATTATAAATCTTTGTTGTTATAATAATTTCTACTTTACATTTCTTTTTATAGAGAAGTTAAAGGTGCAAAAGAATGGAGTGTGTAACTGATGGAGTCTCTGAAATGGATTTTATGCTGTGTCATTTCAGAGAGACTATAGATACCATAAGTATAAATCGTCCCTTTACATTATCCATATATTCCCCCCTTAGTTGAAGGTAGTCCTTCCTCTTCTTCTGTGAGTGTTCTACCATTTATTGGTACTCTAGATTTCATGTTCTTGTACTCGGAAAAAGTAGTTATCGATATTTTTTTTATTTTTATAATAAATTTTACTTGGTATTCCTCTATAAATAAACTTCATTAGTCTTTGAGAAGTTTGTATTTTTTCCTATGGAGAAGGAATGACTCTGTGTTTCATAAGTCTAGAGTACCCAATTTATTTTCAAAGGAAATTAAAGACTTAATGGTATAGTTTGAAATATAGTCACATAGTAAATATGTGACTTTTCTCTGGTTGCTATTGTTGAAACATTCTGATTTATCATGTGCATTTTCTCTCACTGGTTCCAAAGAGTTTTAAACCTGTGTCTCAATTAACAGTGGCTTCAGACCCTCTCAACAGTGGCTTAGTTTTATCAAGAAGGTCTTAAAATGAGAACACATCAGAAGGCTTTATATTAGTTCAGAGGAGCTGTGATTCACAGCACAATAAAGATAAACTGACCTTTTAAAGGCAAATATGTCTTGCTGATTACTCTGCAGAGCTAATTGAGCAAAGGTCTAACCAAGATGTTATATAACCACCTCTTTTCTAAGCCTTCTTTGAGTCTGTAAGAGATTATTTTGAGCAGGTATATAATTTCCCTTTGGACTTACATGTTGCAAATACTTACATATTGTCAGGCTATTCTGCTCTCCTCAGCACAATTTTTGCAGCCACAAATACAGATTTCACTGCTGTTTCAGTGTTCTTGGAAAAAATAAAGAAAATGTCACATTACCAGAAAACGGAGTGACATCTGGAAAAATTAAGGATCATTAATCAACTTTGTCAGAGTTCTGTAACTGGCAAAGTGAACCAGAAAAGGACTTATGCAACCAGTTTTGTCACCTTCCACCATCAAAAGATGGAATCTTTTAATAATTTTAGAAGAAAGAGGGTTTCTTGCCAGCTGCTTTTACCTGGACATGAAAGACTGCCAGTGACAGAGCTTAACGACGTCTCACTAAGACAACACACCCATAAAAAGTACATAGTACAAGTCACATTCGCACTTCTGGAATTCTTGATCTTATGGACCTGGACACATTGCTGTATGACTCTGAGGAATGATAGTCATACAATGTTTAATAAGGAAGGGCTATTCTTACCTCATTCTGCCTTCTTCTCATTCTGGTACTTTGAAGTTGACTGTCTGGTACTCTGATGTTGATAGCTCATCTTTGCAGAGAGATGACCATACTCTGTGAGAATCTTTCCCCTGTGCTTAGGGATGTAGATTGTACTCTGATTTAGGTACAAGGCTGAGTTTACACAGGTAGGCTATCTGTCCAGTTAAGTGTCCTCCAAACACCCTGGGCTGACCACCATGCAGAGAAGATAACATGTAGATGCCATTGCGTTCCATTAATACTTTCCCAGACAGTCAGAGACCTGATTGCAGTGCTCGTCTTATCCTGCAGAGATTCAGACTTCTCCCTCTTCCACAAGAGTCTGGTTCTTACCTGTGGAGCTAGAGAAATCAAGTGCACTGGGACAGCAAACCCCATCCTGCTTTGGGACTGGCGTTCTGTGCATTCAAGAACACAAAATCTTCTGGAGTACTGTGTTCAGTTCTGGAGTCCCCAACATAAGACCTCTTGGAGCAAGTCCAGTGGAGGACCATGAAGCTGATCAGAGGGCTGAAGCACCTCTTCTATGAACAAAGACTGAGTGAGCAGGATTTGTTCAGCCTGGAGAAGAGAAGGTTCCAGGGAGACCTTATTGCAGCCTTCCAGTACGTGAAGGGGCCTATAGGAAATCTGGAGAGGGACTTTTTGCAAGGGCATCTAGTGATAGGACAGGTGAGTGGTTTTAAACTGAAAGAGGGTAGATGTAGATTAGATGTTAGGGAGAAATTCTATACTGTGAGGGTGGTGAGACAATGGCACAGGGGAGCTGTGGATGCCCCTCTCCCTGGAAGTGTTTAAGACAAGGTTGAATGAGGCTTAGAGCAACCTGTTCTAGTGGAAAGTGTCTCTGCCCATGCAGGGGGAGTTTGAACTAGATGATATTTAAAGTCCCTTCCTATCCAAACAATTCTGTGATTCTATATTTGTAAGGAAAAATCAATGAGGAAAGAATAAGGCTCTGTAGCCTCTTGGTGAAACTCCAGAAGGAAAGGCATGGGATCTTTTCCACAGCAAGGCTGGCACTTCAGATTACACTGACACAGTGAAAATAACACAGGGAATAGGCCTCCAGCTCATTAGAATGGAGTCACCCAGGCCAAGGCACTCAGCTCCCTGGCAGCTGGCAAAAGCAGAGCTGTACAATCCCAGGGAAAAACCCAATACCTTCCTTTCAGGATCTGAAGACCAAGCATTATGTAACAGAAAGGATGCAGTACTTGGCTTATGTGCTCCATATTCACTAAAAGACTAGATAAAGTTTCTTATAAATGCCTTAAATGATTTCTCTAAGACTAGACCCCATGTCAGGGCAAAATCCAGTGTCCAGGCACCTGACTGTTAGAACATATAGACTCTTCTATGATATCTTCATGGGTTTTATGTCAGAGAAGCCTCTTGAAAACAGAGAACTGTATATTGTCCAGTTTTTCTCTAAGTCTTAAGCCTGTTTTAAATTTCACCTCCATCATTTGTCAGTGAAGTCCTTGTTTGCCTCTGTCTTGTCTTCTTTCAATTAACCCTCTCCAAAATAATAATTGTTAAGTGAGTCTGTCCAGAAAATACAGATAACTTTCTCCCTCTGTGGAGACTGTTACACATGTTGACTCTTCAGTTTGAAAAGAGGGTATCTCTTGGACAAAAAAAAAGAACATTGCTTTTGTCAGGTCCAAGCAGGGACTTGAGACCTCATACTCAGAGAACAGGGTAAGGCAGAATCATGACTCAGAAAGGCTTTTCAAATTAGTACAGTAGGCAGTGAATACCAGCAAGAAAGGTTAGTACAAGATAACACAATGGGAATTTATTTTTCATTGGTTTTCTAGACAATCTGAGAAAAAGAGCTGTTGTGTTCCCAAATCCTTACCTGACTAGGGAACTTTCTTTCAAGCAGTGGACAACCCTTCTCAGAGAGCTTAGGTGCATGTTGTAAAGTAAACAGAATATGATCAGTACTTTTCCTGTTTTCCTTGTGTTTGTCCCTTCTTTCTTTGCCTGGAATACAGAGATGTCATATGCTGGTGAGGTAACAGGCAACTTAAATCTAGGGTTTATTTCAGTGAAACAAGCTTGCCAAGGTCCCACAGGTGTTGCTAGAGCCTGAGGTGTTGCTTTGTACCTGTGTGTTACCAAGGACTGCCCACCCTCAGTAGCTGCAGGATGCTGGGTTTGGAAATGGGAGTGCTGTCTCCCTTATAGGTCATTAACCACCTCCTGTGTCTTCTGTGAAGACCTGTCCTGCTGTGTAAGATCTGGGGGCTGCTTTGGCAGCTCTACTGGCTGAAATTGCAGCAGAGAGAGGGATGCTGCTCTTTACCCCTTCCTTACTCTTCCTTTACCTAAAATGATCCCATTGTCTAAATGTACAGAATAAATAAATAAACTTATCATCTGAAGTTATTTGCTTACCTTTATTTTTTGGGGAAAAAATATAAATAAAAAGCAAATGGTTCAAACCATTTGGTTTGGTTCTGTAACCACTGCTGTTATTGCTAGACTTGATTCCTGCTTCCTTAAAATTGAGTAAGGACAAGTTTGCAAAGGCAAAGCACAACACAGATGCATAATATGATTTCATGAAAACAGAGTATATTTCACTCCAGTATCCTCCTTTCTTTATAGGGCCTGTTTTTCTTCTCAAAAAGCAGAGTTTCAACGTTAATTTTCCTAGGTCAAGAGGAACATTTTTAAAGAAACACATTTTATTTTTTTGGTAATTATTTACTATTTGATCTACATAAAGTAAAATATTTGTACATTGAAAATAGCAGGTTTCTTCCGAATTTGTTTTTTACAGTCCTAAAATACCCAAGCCCAGATATTTTCAGCAGCCTTTGCTCTAAAAGGGATGTCTCTGTGTCACTGTATAGGAAACCTCACAAGATTATGACCTTATGATTGCCTTTATAAGCTCCAGTTTACCTATTTACCTATATTCTAATTAAAATCTTACTGGAATTGGTATGTTTCTTCACTTGAATCACATCCATCAAACTTCATAACTCGGATGCAAACAATGTAATACTCAAAACTGGAAAATAACTGAGATCTAAAACTCCTTTCTGCACGTACTAACTGCTGCTGTAAAGCAGTTTTTTAGATAAAGATTGTATTATTTACGTCTGTGAAATTTAAGATTAAGTAGAGGTCTTTTGGAGGAGATTTAAGACTACAGATATTCAAAGTGACGTAGATACAGCTGCAGTTTTATTTAAGTTGGTGTGTGTTATCTCATACTAAACATACTGTAAGTCAGGTGCCCTTGCTGTGATTTTTATTTGACGTGTCTCTTCAAATTGGATTGTGATTTATCCCTCCCCCACCCTTTTAATTCTAGGAATATGAAATGGCAGAAAACAGGCCATACCTTGAAACAGATTTTCTTACAGACAAGGAGTAGTCAGAGGGCGTGTTCAACACAAATGTGATCTTGTTGCCTCACTATCCACTGCATGACTGAGGGTATTGGCTTTAATTACTAAACTAATGATATTTTATATAAAGATTGATCTGACAAGATATTTCTTTTTCCTGTTTTTAATTTCATGCTCTCTCCATCCTGTGACATCAGCCCAGTCACCCCATAGTGCCTATTCCAGAAAATGAAGCACTCAGCTCTAAGGAGGTAATCAGTTAACATTAAATGGCTTTAAGCATTTGCATGCTAGCTTTGTCTTGTATTTATGTAGTTTGTGTAGACTTGATGAGAAAAATGTGCTGAACTCTCAATCTGCTTTTGTTCAGTGCATGGACGAGAGAAGCACTCATTATTCTTAATGATAAATGAAGAAAAAAACCAAAACAAACCATAATCGTTTTGCAGACTGTGCAGCTTAAGTGATTTTGGAGTAATGCTAAAATTTACACTTCAGGTTCCTGGTATGTGCTGTAGAGATGTTAGCAAGCTGAATTTGTTCAATTATCCAGGTAGACCCATCTAAGTCACACATTCTACAATTTGAGTTCACTGGTAAAGCTTCTGTCAGATACAACAACTACCAGAAGCACTTTGGATTATTAGTTATTGAGAATTTTGTAAAGGACTGTCAAGAAAACACGAGGCAACAAATAGCAGAAGTTTGCCTGGTATCAAAATTCAGTGCCAATGTTATTTGACTTTGAAGAAGGACACAAATCTCAAAGTCTAAATTCACTGGCCAATTCTCTGCTACTTTTATGTATCTACATTCTAGGACCATAGTAATTACCACCCGAGATGATTCATTCAGTAAGAGCTGAAGCCATCTGTTACACATCAATTTTCTCTTGAGACAGAACACATAAAAATTAAAAAGGTTCTGCTGGCACGGGCAAGTCTTTTTTCCAATAAGATCATGAGCATGAAACTGAATCATGGCCTCAAAGTTGAAATAAAAGTATGTAATTTAATTAACTGTAATGTTTTATACTCTAGGCTTTGGAAAGTAGTAGAACATCTTCAATTAAAGAACATTTTCTGTATTATTTTAGAAATTTACATAAGAAGGCGTAATTTATGACCAATAATAGCAGTATGAGTACATTTATGACACAAGAATGATTTTTTTTACTACTGAGACCTCTTTTTGGTTATAGATGCATGCTTATAATTATTTCACATTTTTTTTTTAATGAGTTTAACAGTACAGATAGGAATGACATTTTTGTAACATAGTTTATTCTTCATTTATTATTTTACAGTTAGGTTTTAGTCTTGCTAAAAGGAGAAAAATGAGCATCTAAATCAATGAAATGGTGTTTTTCAATAGCTGCTGCCAAAGTATCTTTCTTATTGGTTTGAAAAATATTGAGGGAGTTTTGAGGTCAAGCACTTTACAAGTTGGAAGCAGAGAGTTTGCTGGGATTCTGACTTTTTTGACAGCCTGACAATAAATACTTATGTTCTATCTCAATTTCTGCTGGGAAATGGTTAAAAAAAAAAAAAAAAAAAAAAGTAGACATCTCACTTGTTGGGTGGATCAATGGACTGCTGCTCTGCACTGGGACTGTATGAGACACGAACAAGACTTGAACATAGCCTTCTACACTCCTGTGCATCCCCAGCCTCTCTGTGCAGAGGGTCAGGAACTTTCAGCTGTTTCATATCTCTTCTTGTTTTTTTTGAATCTTCATCGCAGTCTTCCAGCTTCCTCCCTTTTTGCTTGCTTTGGTTCTTTCTGCTTGTGTGTACACCATCAGTCCCCTTTCCTCTGCCTCCCAGGAGCCACTTCTGGGTTCTCTTGAAAGCAGTTGTTATGGTTTCTGGTGTGGATCTATCCAAAGGAAGCCTCAAAGTGCCGTCAAAAAATGAAACAAATACCTTGCTGATCTTCTCAGATAGGTTGTGTTTCTCCATCTCCTTTGTAGAGTTTCTGAAATATTATTGAAGTAAAGGTATTTCATTAGGGGGTGGTGAGAGAAACTTAATAATCCGGAGGATGAATTTGATGTTGAGATCAAACAGATTCGCACTACATGAGATACACTAAAATGTGTATATATACACACAAATATGCATATATGTGTATTTGTATAAGTGTGTGTATATACATAGATAAATATTTATGTGTGTGTGTGTATATATATATAAGCAGCCTCTGATGATGCAGCTGATTTTTCTGCATTTGAAAATAAAATGGAGGAAAACAAACAGCCAGATCCCCATCTGTTATCTTTCTTCTTTACAATATACACATTAAGGGAGAACTTTGCAGATCTAATGGAAAGAAAAAGATCTTTTTAAAGATAATTTTTATAAGAAACAAGACACATAATTTAACTAATGCATTACTAAGATCAGTTCAGAAACTGAAGCATATTATACTAACATATTAAAGTCACACATTGACTTCAGTGGTAACAAGATTTCACTGACAGTCATTTGTGTGAATTTGTGAGATTGCTAGTTCAAGAATATCTTTTTTTTTTTTTTTTTTTCCCCCCTGTTTCCCAAGGGGAAACCATTAATGCACCCTGCTACACTTCAAGCATTTAACAACAGAAGTTCTTGAAATTTGAAAGTCTATGAGAATGTCGATAAGTTCCAAAGTTCTGTTATACAGTGCTCTTGATCTTTATTTACTTAGGGAGTGTTCCTGGTCAGGGGTTAACATTAGTATTAATCATTGATAGATTCTACATATAAGAAAAAGCATCCATTTTATGAAAGAGTCCTTTTACATTAGACCAAAGCTCCAACCCAAATGGCATTATCAGAGCAGAGAGATGTTCTTCCAATTTAAAAAAAACAAACAACAAACTGTCATCGTACCCTGGATTTAAAACAAAAGTTGCAGAGCTTATGAAATTCTCCCACAAAGCTGCTTGACAACATGACTCTCATGTACCCTTCGATACTTTTTCAACTTGAAAGATAAAGCTTGTCAAAGCAAGAACAGGGGTATGGTAGATACCTAATGAAACTAGAAGGACTTGTATCAGAAGCTGCTCCTAATCAAAAGTCAACTCCTTTGTTCAAACACCTTCTTCTATTTGGTGCTTGGACAGATCCTTCCCAACATGAGGACAGAGTGGGGCAAAAGTCTGCATTGCTTCTCTGCTTCCCTTAGAGTCACAAACATTGGTTCTCCACCTGTTGTATTGTGAATGCATCGTTCAATGTTTGCTTTCAGTCTTGTACTAAATCATAGCCTTGTCCTCCAGATAGTGGAAAGCTGATATATGTTAGTATGGCAGAACATTGTCATCAGCTTCATCGTCATCCAGGCTGCAGAACATGTGTGCACTACACTGTGACCAAGTCAGCATCTCTCCTGTTCCCACCCCTGGGTCAGAGAGGTCTTTGCAGCACTGCTGATATGCAGAATGTATTAATTATGTAATAAATGAGGCAGCAATAGGCAAGTCATAAAGAATGTGGCACAGACTGAGACTGAGTGTAGCAATTAAGGCAGCAAATGATAAGACAAAGGGCAACAGCAATACATATAAAAAAAGGTCTTGGGTGATGCAAATGAGAAAAATACTTTGATGTCACTTGACTCCAAAATGAGAACTGTTCTGACTTGACCTGTGAAGTTCCAAAATGTTTTGGAAAATTAACAATACCTCTTTGAAGTAATAGCCTCACCACTCTTAGTTTGTTTTCACTAAGCCAAGGACTGCAGCCTTAGGCTTTCTCCATATCATCATAACAGTTAACTACCTGAGAATGTAATGACCCAGCAAATGAACATTAAAAGTAAGAATAACTACTACTTTTGCTAAAGGAGTAAGAATTTTAGGTGTTAGCTGTGACAAATTCTTTAACCTCCTAAATGGATAGGCTACTAAAAGAGAACAGTAAACTGTAGTCTTCTTATTTTTGTAAACAGAATGGGAGGTCCAAAAAAAGCACGTCTGTAAATTCTCAAATAAAACCCTTAAATATCAGGAGACATACTTTCTATTTACTTTATACTTTAATAATGCTTTAAATTTCTTAAATTTTAATACTTTATATGTACAACAGGAGATTTATACTTGCAGCATGTACTTGGGCAATACTTTTGGCCAGCTTCAATGATATCTCCTTGCTTAAAGTAAAAGGTTTCAGTGATAGGCTACTGCTATGAATATTAGATCACCAGGTATTAACAAGGAAAAGGTATTTTATACATTTATAGGATTTTATTTCTAATGTCATTGCTATAAAACTATTACTGTAGATGTATCAATTATATGGTTAATTGACATGAAAAAGTATGAAAGGATAGCAATATACATGCGATTTAGAGGAAGTAGGAAACACCAGTAATTAATTTAAATTACCATTTTAATCTAATTCTATTTGGCTTTAAGAAAAAAACTGTTGTATTTTGTCCCCTTTGAATACAGTCACCTTAGCATCCTCTGAAATGACTCATGGAGCAGACTTGGAACTGGTGACTGCTGTCTTTTTAGACCAGTGGTCAAGCCAGTTATTCATTCACTCTGTAGTCCACCCTGCTTCTTGGGCTTGTTAAGGTGGAGTAAAGCAACATCTGCACCATGTGAATGGAAAATTTGACAACATGCTCTGGCGTCTGAAGATGTGGCCCAAAAAAGAATTGAAAACCCAAGGTGATGCTTGTCCATTGAAATTTGCCATGTGCAGTGTACTTTCTCAAACATGTAGATGCATGAAAAATGATCCCCAGTGGTCAGCATAGCTCTAAATTAACAGTGCAGAGAATCAATGTTTTTAAAGGGGAGTTGTTTTACGGTTTTCCACCAGTTTGTAGAACAGTGCCTGCTTAACATTCTGCAGTTTTTATTCTCCTCTCCACTTTGTTTTCACCTTTTTTTTCCCTTTTTTTTCCTGCAGGTTGCCAATGAAAGAGGTTCAATTTAGCTGGGATGGTGAGTATGACTATTTTTCTGACTTGAATACAGTCACGCTTTGAATATGTAACTACTCTGTTAGTGTCACTTGAACAATTTTTTTATTGTTTTGTTTAAAAAGATGATAGGATGCTTTAGATATAGTTATACTCTTTAGTGTTTGGATGACAATCTGGTATGTTTGGTGAATAATTTTCTCTTAGTAATTACCTGTGCAGAACAATTCCCCATCTTAGCATCACAGAATAAAGTCACAATTTAATTAATTTTAAGTGGAATGCAATCAAACAGTTGTGAGAAACTGAAGTGTGGTCTGGAATTCTATTGTGAAGTAATGTCACTGAAATAAGATGAGCATGATGTTATATTTGAGTGCATAAGCACATAGTGCCATTAAAATGAATGATTTGCTAGAGTTAAATGACACTATATTGCAAATAATGCACTATGCTTTAGAGGAGATATAATGAAGTACTGGAATGTTCCATGCCTTCTTTTGTTTCAGTCTTGATTAAAAAGGTTACTTATGACTAAAAGTTTACTGCAGCTTTTATTAAGAGTTTGAGAGTAGGATCATGGAGAGAGAAAGGAAAGGAACACTTGAAGGAATACTGAGATAAATTGGAGTACACAGGATGGCACAGCCTGATGAAACTTATTCTTAAAATATTTAACCAAAGAATTTTCTCAAACACTAGTGATTAGCAGAATGAGTAAGTTCCCAGAAAACTGGGCAAAGACAAACATAATATCATATCTAACAGAGGAGGAAAGTAAAACCTAAATAATTACAGAAAAGTCAGCCCTAGCAGCAGAACAAAGTAATAAAATAAACATTTGTAGGCATTTAGAGAGTAGTGAGAAAATAAGAGGACTTGCACACCAGCAAATCAGAAACAAATCCTATGAAGTTGATCTCATTTCCTTCTTTGACAGAAAAAACAGATATAAGGGATGTGTCTGATAGAGGGTATCTTCCACACAGTCTCACGTGACAAACAAAGTAGGTACAGACTAAATTGAATTCACAGGAGGTAGATGTGCAACTGCTTGGGAAACTGTACTCTGAGAACAATCACTTGCTGCCAAAGTGGGAGAATGACTCACAAAGGCTTTCTCATTGCTGTCTTCTAGCTCTAACACTATAAAACATTGCCATTAATTACTTGCTCACTCACATGTAAGCTTACAGGTAATGGCCAATTGGGAGGACTTGCAAGCAGCATGGAAGGCAGGATTAGAATTCAAAACATTTTGCTTACATTAGACGAATGACTTGAAATCAATATGATAAAATTCACTGAAGACAAATACAAAAAAAATACAAAAAGCACAGACAGAAAAGGAGTGACAATAACACTGCAGCAGAGAACCTTGGGATTACGTAGGACCAGAAACTGAATATGACTGGAGAGGGCGATTTTCTTATAAAATTGCCATTCCAGGAAGATATTGCAGGAAGTGCTTATAATATGATGGAGGTAATTACTCATATCTCTTCAGTATCAGTGAAGAATCAGTTGCATGGAATGTGGGAAACAAATGGAGGATTAAGAAAACATATAAAGGTTTCAGTGTCTTCACACAGAAGAAGATAAATAAGAGCAGAGCAGAGGCACAGCAGTTTGTATCTCTTCATAATGGGCTGTTATAAAAGGATGTTAGTCACTTCTCCATTCCTCCTCAGCATAGAAAAGAAATGGGCCTGAATTTCAGAGAGAGAGATTCAATATAGAATTTGGACAGGAGCAATTATGTGGGAATTTAAGTGCTAACACAGTTTATCTCAGCCTGCTGCAAGGACAGGCAAGCATCTCACAAGGTAGGGTTGGTCTGCCAGCTGTCATCTCCCACAGCTTTTGTACAAATAAGGTGGCTGAATATATTTTTAGGGCTTTTTTTCTGTGAAACCGTGAGTTACATTTGTTAGCCAGATCACCAGGTTGTATAAATTAGGAAAACTAAATTACTTCAGTGTCTGTCACACAGTTTACTAATCTGTAGTTTTGATTCTTTGTGTTAATGAGAAAACTCTTCTTTTGCAGCCCCAAATTAGGATCAAGAGCTAAAACCACAGAGCATTTTGAGGCCTGTTTCTACACTGAGGAGGAATCCAGGGCACAAATAATATTTAAAGCACCATTAAAAAGAAAATTAAAAAATGCTTCCAGTATGCTAATTGCAAAGCAGTAATAATAGTCAAATATTATTTTAAGATATAATCTTATGCACTAGCATAATTAACCCCAGAGATACACACATGAATGTGCTATAATGAAATATCATTTCTTGAAGTGCTTGCTGAAGATATGCCCAATGTAACACAGCACATTTTCCTTAGAAATAATATAAATGTTGACATTAAATAAAGCTGTATTTTTGTTGCAAAGTGCTTGTTGCGATTCTTATTTTTACTCCTTTAAGTCTAGCTCTAGGTATTTCAAATAGCTGTGAACAAATGTCAGCATCCTCGGGAAGGGAATGCTCCTGTACTCTTGACCTTGGTCACATTTTACCACCACACAGACACTTAAGTTTTGTTAAATACTCCAGGAATTACTAACCTTTGTGTCAACACCCACAGCAATCTGCTTGCCCAGTGATACTTCTCTACCATGCAATATTTACAGCTCTTTTGGGAAGGCAGCATGACCAGCTACGCTCCTGGAGCACATGGAAGAATCACCACTTTCCTCTTAAATTAATGCTGCTGTTTTTTAATCCTGTGCTGCTCCCACACAGTATTACCTGAGCCTTGATCTTGAACAATTTGCTTCCAAAATACACTATAAAAGTCTAAGGAAGCTGATTGTCTACACTTGCATGAGTGTACTGACTTCTCCCTGATCCCTTGATTCCCTGAACCGCAAATCCCCCAACAGGTACATATGTATTGAATTTGCCCTGTCCTGGTGTGCAGAAGCATATTACCTGCTGCCACATTGATATTAGGATTAATATTTTAGTGAGAATTGTTGCTGCTTTCATTAGAATTAATGACACGAATTAATTCAGAAAATATTAACATCAGTTAAAACATTACAATCAAAAAGTTTAAATCTTAGATCTTAGGCTACTCATCCTCTTGCACTATTTTTGACCTGATGTAATTTCAGTCCAGCCTGCATTAAAACTGTTGAACTCTGGAACTGCGAAAACAGAAGGGCAGCAATCAGTGAGTCTCTCTGTATGTGTAAAATACACTTTTTCCCCCTGATACTGGAGCACACACATCCTTCAGAATGTCATTAACAGATTGATAGATGTGTAACTTTGTTGGTTTTGTTTAGAATAGCTTCTTTTCTCAATGAAAAAATACTAGAAGTGTGTACATACTGTGGACAGCATAACCATTAACCAGATGGTTAAAAAAAATTGAGAAAAGCATTTCTGGGGTTTCAAGAGAGAGTTCTTAGGGACAGAAATCAACACATATAGGTAAATATAACAAAAATGTATTAAAAACTTAAAAAAAATAGCTATAAATCAATACATACAAACATATCTAACAATAAATATTGTACAAGATGTAATAGGTTTACCCACCAAGGACCTAATAATATTACTTTTTTTCAGTAGAGCACTGAAGTGGGCAAAACTCATGTTTAGAACCAGTGTGATCCGTGTGATCCTCAAAAGTCTCAGTAAGATTTCCTGCCCATTGTTTCAAAGCATTTTCTTCCTTCTGAATTTGTTCCAAGTGGAACTTCCTTTTCCTCTTGAATTCTGTGTTTGCAAAGCCCAAATCCCATCTAGCATGTCTAGCCAATAGAATTATTCACATGGTATGGTTTAGGTTTAAATTAGCCCAGGCAATAGACTGAAGGCAGTAGGTGGAAGGAACACAAGCAGGAAGGGGAAATACTGGAATTAAAGGAAGTGCAAAAGAGGAATCCTTTTGTTGAGTTTTGGGTTTGTGAGTTTGTTGCATACCTTAAAAACCAGTTTCCCTATCTGTTCAAACAGCTTCAGTCTACGAATGAAAAATTAGAGTATATTGGCAAGTACATTCTAGGAAGTCTATCCTGAGAAACCAATGGAAAAAATATTAAGAGAAAAAAATCCTTCAAGGAGAGATTATAAAGAGCAGAAGTCAGCATGAAAAATAGATTGCTTTTTCAGTAGTACTCTAAAATTAATGGATAGTGGTTATTCAATAGTACAATATATTTAGTCCAAGTTCTGATGTATTTACCCTGCTTTTATTAATTTCTTTTTCTGGTAAAACACACATTCCCATCAGGATCACAATGACTGCCTATGCTTAGTGAGGGTTTATAGTCCCCCTTTTCCCTCATCCTCTCTCGCAGTCTGACACACAGACTGTTCACAACACCCTACAGTGTTGTGGTGTTTCTATTGTTGCTGTGAGCTACAATTTAAGCTGGAAAAAAAATAATAAATAAAAATTTCCTGGCATAAGGTAGCAGTACTGCAGCTCTCCCTCTGAGTCTGGCTGCAAAGCTTGACCCTTGTTCACTTATGGTAGCCAGGGGAAGGGAAGGACCCCATCTTCTGATGGGGTGGGCTCTGCTGTCCATCTACAAGTGGCCTCCAGCACTCAGAGCCTTGATGGCCACTGCTGTTGCCTGTGTTCTGAAGCTGATTAGAAATGAGACTTCTGTGATGACAAATAGGTTTCATTCAGAAAAAACAGGGAGACTTTTGAAAGAAAGGCTGTGCAAAAATCCTGCTCCAGCCTTGAAGAGATTTTTGGACACTCTAAACTGTTTCTTACTTGTTACTCTACGAAGTGTTCAATGATATCAATGTTTGAATTCCTGCCAAATGTATGGTGATTTTTGAAGCTCCAGAGTAGACATCAGGTAGTGCTGAAACAGGTAAAAGTGCGATATTTTTGTACCTAACTGTGCAAACTAGAAATAGAACTAGAATCCCAAATCAAAAGCTTAGCAGACCTGTTATGTTTGGAGTAGGTTAATCTTCAATAGAGAAAAAGGTTAATGTCTAACTGTTTATAAACAGTTACGGGTAAGTCAACTCGTGCTT